TTCTTATAATCCCCTCAATTAAGATGCAAGTCTAGGTGTTCTGTTACAACAGGTGACTTCCAATTATCAATAGTCATCAAAACTTTTCATAACTTTTCAAAACATTCATGCCTACTTGCTGTGCAGCACAAACTATCAACATTTTTCTTCTCTCCATTTTCAGTTCCCCTTGTTTCTCAACTTAAAGTAACAGAACGGATGAACACAAAGGAAAAAAAATGTGGAAGTTACAAAGAAAAGAACTGGAGTAGAGTATCCTGAGAATAAATATGAAAGTTACCTTCAACAGGGTCAATTTTAAAGCCTGTTGAGAATAAAGCAAGTGTCTTTCATTGCAACAAGTTGTGTTTGTTTTTGTCACCAAGGACATACTCCCCACAGTCCTGTTGAAGAAACAAACCCAGATGCCAGGTCTAAACTTCTGAACTTCATCACACTTCATTCTTCCTGCATGGTTAGAATGCTCTGCATGTTGTAGTTGTAGCAGAAAGCAGGGTATTATTGGACGCAGAAGTTGATTATCAGCATTATTGTAGCTAACACAAAAGACAGTCTCGCCAATTCATAAGCAAATAACCTATTTTTCTCATATTGCTGCCCTTAGCAGAATCTTCATCTAACCTGCGAGTAGCCGAATTATACCAAATATGTCAACAGTATAAGAAGTACTCTAATGTTTTAAAACAGTAGAACAGACCATTACATGACATTTGTCTGTATGAGTGAATCAAACAATTTCTTATACTATAATTCCATTCCTCTTAAGAAGTCACTAGAGTGACAACAGTGAAGGCAAAACAATAGATCTTGAGGGGGCAAGGAACTGAAGGGAAAAAGCTATTTAATACATTTTCATCCTTTTGTAAGAATAAGCTAAACACATCTTCTGGACAACTTAGTAGAATTTATAAAAAAAAAAAAGTGTAGCAATAATTTATTAAGTATACCACATATAGTTAAAATAGAAAGCCGCAACATATCTGAAGTAGATTTCCACCATAAGCAAACTCAATTATTAGTAGCAAAAAACAGCCAGTGTTCTGTAATTTTGTAAGAGAAGAGAACCACTAAGAACTTGAGTTTAAAAAAAAAAGTGAGTAACGCTTCCAGATTATTTACAGACAATGCTACTCTGTGCTTTCTTATTCCTCTCCATCAGCTCATACCTCTTTAGACTCATACTGGTTTTAGCTGGTTTAGCTACTGCCTTTCCTGTGTACTGTTACATTTCAACAACCAGGAAAGAAACAGACTTGGTGACACATGACATTGGAAAACTAATAAAGAGTACTAGCACACTAATTTCCAGCATTGCCTACCTAACCAACTATATGCCTAACATAACCAACTAAAAACCACAAGGAAAAAACTCTTAAGCATATTGCACACTGATGCTGTCTCTTGGAAAAAATAAAAGGCCTTTCCTGTACCTTCAAGTGCTACAAAATGATGTTTACACAAATATGAGTTTTCTCTCCTAGGTTTAACGGGGGCTATCCATTCACAAGCGCTTCAGTTCTTGGCCTGTGCGCTGCCCAAAGCACTTCCACAATATCACAAACTCCCAAATGCTACGTACGAAGTCATATGCCTTGACTGTATGGCTGCTTGCTTTTCCTTTTCCCCTCCTCATCAGGTAGAGTGTTGTCAGTAGACTGCAGCCATTCTGAAACGTGCAGTGCACATACCCAGAGTGAGTCACTCCTTTGTTCAGGACACATTCACTGCACAGCCATGCATGCCAATCAGGAGAAAGATAGTATGGCAGACTGAAGTGGCCCACACTGAAATACTTCCAAAAAAAAAAAAAGTACCCTATCAACCTCCATACTAACCAGAAGCTTACTAAGAGAGCTATTCCCTGTACCTGTGTGAGGCATATTCTTTACACCAGATTTATATATACACATCTCAGAAGATTTTTGTAATTACTGCTAGAATACATTAAATACTTAATACATTCACTTAATCAACTGAAAAAGTCTCTATCAGTCCAAGCCCCCAAATAAGTTTACTTATCCAGGGCAAAGCATCGTAACTGTAAAGAGAACACCAGTCAGCAATTCAAACTAGTTATTAGATCCTGATACTAACATCTCTAGCGAGTGATGCACACAGCATTTGAGATTAAAGCTAGCTAGTCTCTGACCTTCCCTGAGTTAGAATGCCAGTTTGGTCTTAGTGACATGGACCACATGCAGTGAGAATAGAGTAACTTAGATGCACACTTTAAAAATAATTATTTAAAAACATTTTTATGTAACATGGCAATTTTCAAGTGCATGTATAAAGAAATAAGTTTAAGATGCAAAAAAATTATTCAAGAAACAGAAAACTAAAGAAGTGTCTAACTATGTTATAAAGTGTTAGGACTGGAAACTCCCATACGTAGTGGGAGTTCATAAAGTAACATCTGACAGAGCTAAAATCCATGTTTTTCATACTGTTATCTAAATTGTAGTGTTAAGGGGTGTAGTGTGCACAAAGCAACATTTCCATGGCTCTGTGAATTCTAGCTAAGCAAAACAAGACATTACACATCATGTAAGTATGAATTATTTCACATATGACCACACGATGACTGGGTTTTGACATGTTCTAATACCTTCACAAATCAAGCACGCTGCTACTTTGACAGATATTAGCTGGGAGGTGTGCTCTCATTGCATATTTTGACTTAGGACAGACCACATTTACTCCATATAAACCAGGCTTTCAAATGGCATTTGTCATTTTCCCACCCTTCACTTTGTGTTGAATGTTTTCCCCAGTTTTTGGCATTAATTTCTTCTGACTCATATGTGAATACAATAAAGATGGAACATTCAACAGTTTGATGAACAAAAAATGCTTTAAATCAAACCAAACTACACAGCACAAATAAATGGTAATCACCTTAAATTTAACAATCTCTTAGCAGGTAATTGCTAGACTACGTGACTCTGAAATTGTAAGTATTCCTCTCACTTTATACTTGGTTTGCTCACACGGTTTCCTAAAGCTCAAAAGCCTCTTCCAATTCATAGACAACTCCCAGGCTACACCTGTTAACTTTTATTATTACTCTTTTTATGACTGGGTTTAAAACATAGGTGGCAAGCTCATTTTTCTGCTTAAGAGAGAAACCAGCCAGACAACAGTTAATAATGTTTTCTTGTTTTTAACCAACATGACTAATAATGATTTTGATAAAATAAATCAAGTTTTTCAATGAGATGGGTCACAGTCCTTTTCTTCAAGTATAATCAAGTATATTACAAACATGCTACATAACTGATCAGCATATATACAGCAGGTACAGAAATCTCAAGAAAGCATAAGGTCAAGCAAATATTCTGGATAAGCTGACCACGTGCATGGACAGGTAAATCCTTGTCTCCTAATGCCTGTCCAATCATGATAAAAACAGTGCTAAAAGAGCATTAAACGTGCCAATGCGAGTCCTTGGACTCAAAAGCAGCTCCCTATTCACTCTCAAAGCACCCCAAAGAATATATGACAGCCACTGAAAAGCAACATGAATTTTCCCAGTTGCATCCCTCAATTTTATGTTGTCAGTTCATCAACAGCAATGAATAGGTGCCAGAGGGAGGAAAAAAAAAAAAAAAAAGGATGTTTACATGTTTCACAATGCCTTCTACAAAATATGACTCAAGCCAACACTAGACTGCTACACAAATAAGATATACAAATGGGCAAGATATTCCATTTTCCATTGTTAGTGTCCTGAGACAATGACAGAAGATCCAGAAGACAGCCCTCTCCCATAACTCCTCCCATATTTAACAGCTGGTGCAGGGTATTTCTTAAAGACTTGAATCTAACTGTCAAATGCATTCCTAATGTTTTAGTAAGTCCACTGTCCTCCAGGGCGACTGGGAAACAACTGTACCAGTCTGTATTTCTGGTTGGGATTAGTCTCCACAGAAATACTTTTAAGAACTGTACTTTTCTCCTGATTCTGAGAGTGATATTGTCTGCAACATTACACAAACACATGGAGCCAGACGGGACCAGAATCTATACAAATAACTTCCTACAACACCTCCTAGAAGTGAGCTTGCTCAGGAACATAATGCAAATGCATCTGTCAGAGTAGCCACTATGATCTACAGGCTAATTGTATTATGTAGGAGCTAGTCCACGTCCAGCAGAATCAGTACTGAATTTGAGAGAGAGCTTTACTAGACAAAACTTGGCTCAGCAAGCAGTTAACATAAATCAACTTCTGGTGAAAAGGCAGCTAGTTAGTACAGCTACAAGTTCCCTGGACAAATATGGAGACTGTACTCATTAGAAAACTTTTGTGCGTACCCCTGAAATAGGATTTCTTGCATGCGTTCGCTAACATAACCTACAGTTCTCTTGTCCCATATATCTTTTCATTCTCATTTCTCAGCCTGCTTTTATGAAGTACTGATCCAATTCCTGCAATAAAGCTAAGTACAAAAGTGAAATAAATAATAAATTAATAACTACCAAGAAGCGCCTTCCTTGTTATAACACATACAATAAACTTGTAACTGAACTTGAGAAAGAAAAAGTAATGCAAGGCAAACATCTGTTTCTCTGTCTACAGAAGTTCTAGCTCCTGTATTTTTCTGTCCTGTTACACTTTTTTTTTTTTCATTTCCATGTTACCTGTTTTGGAAAAGGAGGAAGAGGACAGAAGAAAGCATGTTTTTAACCACCATGCAACACATGAGAGTATTGGTTTGAAAAGAGAAAAAAAAAAAAACACAAAAATAAGTTTTAAAATAGTAATCCGACACCACTACATTAATTTAGAACTCCTGTTTACAATTCAGTGCTTAGAGAAGTCTTTTGTGTAGAGCCTCCAATTTATCTCTAGGGATTTTCAGTTAATAAAGCATATACTGCTGACTAAATGTTAGCTGACAATGACTGGTCAAAGTCTTAAAATTTGCAATTACTGAGTCTTAAAGTAGTTCATTTTGTATTGGCAATTTACCCCCTTATTTGCTAAGTGTACATCCTACCTTCACACCAACTGCAACATCAGTGACAATGCTGTAAAAAAAAAAAAAAAAGAAACAAGTCAACCAATTTGTCCTCATAAAAACAACTTTTAGATGTATTGCAATACTAACACTATTAGGGATCAAAATAGCTAACAACTTCCCCAAACCAGAAATTGTGTCCAAAGAACACAACGTGACTATGGGGAAGTAGAAAGGCAACCTACAAAAGCCACTGAGCCACTTACAGGCATCTCCAGAGTAGTCCAAAGTTTAAGTAAATATTATTCTAATGTAACACTGCCAGGAAACGCATTTAGGAAACTCAGGTCTCTGGACTACATGAAATTACAGACAGGGTGAAAACACAAAGAAGCTAGGAATAAATACAGAACTTTTCTAACACACCCTCATCAACCAGACACCCAGTTCAACAAAACGGATAACCCTGCAAATCTTCTAACTGCATAAAGCAATAAATACTTTTTTTGAAACAAGATTAAATAAATAAATAAATAAATAAAAACAAAAAACAACACATGGGCTAGTATGAAGATTTCAATCAGATATCTACATGAAACTGCAACAGGTACACCAAGGTGCATCTTGTCCTTAGAAGTTGTGACACCATAACTTACACTGTGTAACAAAACTCCAAAGACAATGTAAAACAGCACTAAAGAACATAAGAAAGCAAAATATGAATAACTGAAAGCATTCCACAGTGTAACACTCATCACTGACAAGATGTCTGGGGCAGTATAAGTAACTCCCACCACTATAAACACAAGTAACCATAAAAAGCCTTTAAAACTCTCACAGTTGAGAGGCTGTAAGCATGAAGCGTACCGGGGAGATTGCTTCTCTGTCTGAATCTGAACAAACAACTTAACTGGAAACCTGGGAGCGGGAAGATGTTGTATTTACACTGATGAAGGCTACAGCCACCAGTCCCCTTTCTGGGTCCCAGAGAAAGGAGGCCTCGTGCGGAGCGCCTGCCCACCACGCTCCTGGCCGGCTCGGGGGGTCCTTGCTGCCCCCTGACTCCCCCAAAACCTCCCCTGCTGTGGCTCTCCCAGCCCGCCTCCAGCGTGCACAAAGGCATCCTTCCACCCGGGGAGGGGAGGCAGCCTGAGGACTGCCAGCCAGCTCCTGAAAACAAAAGATCCGGGCACCCGGCTCCCGCCGGCGCTGCTGTTCCTCTCCGGCCAGCCCCACAGCGCGCCCGAGCCCCGCACCCCGCACCCCGCGGCCGGGGGGCAGCACCGCGCCCCGGGCACCGCGCTGAGCACGGCCCAAAGCTCCCCTCCCCCCGGGGCTCGGCACCGAAACCCCGGCCGCGGGGCCGGGCTCCCCGCTGCCCACCCGCCGCGCCGCCTCGCCCCCCGCCGCGGCTCACCCGTCCATCGCCGAGCAGGACGAAGCGCGGAGCCGCGCGGCCGACGAGCACGGGCGGGCTGCGAGAAAATGGCGGCGGGGCCTGCACGGAAACCAACCGACGGCGCCGGGCGGCGGATTCCGCTCCTCGCCGTCGCCCCCCTCCCGCATGCGCCGGGCGCCGCGCCTGCGCGGGTAGCGCAACCGAAGGGGCTGCCCTCAGCTGCTGCCCGCGCCCGGGCGGCCCGGGAGGCGCCCCGCCTGCCTGCCCCGCCTGGGCGACACCGGGCACGGCTCGCGGGGCTCCTCCGGGCCTCGGTGGTCCCTGCCCCGGTGTCCTCAGCCGCCCCGGCGGACAGCGCTTGGTGTGCGGTGGGAGCTGCCGGTGCCGCACCCGCCCACAGCCTGTCCCGTCCCGTTACGGGATGCGCCCCCCGGTCCCCTCCTCGCCGCCCCTCAGGGAGCGTCCCGCGGTTCCTTTGCACCCGACTGCTAAATAATAATAAATAAAAATAAAAATAAAAATAAAAGTGCAAGTCGAGAGTTGCAGAAACTTGGGCTGTCTCTGCGGAAATCAGTGTAGCCACAGAGGTGAAGCATCAGGGCACGAACTGAGGCCGTGAGGAAATGTGCTGCTGCTCCCCGCTCCTCTGCTCGGTCTCACACATCTCGCAGTGTTTCTAAAAAGAGGTGTTCACGGGATGCTCTGGATTGCATTCAAATGAAAAGTAAACCTAAAGTTTCTGTGCCTATGATGGAAGATTTGAAAAATGATCTAAATACACCTGATCACAAGCCCAGACAGATACTAAAGAGTAGAATCATAAAATCACAGAAAGTCTCGAGTTGGAAGGGACCCATAAGGATCATGGAGTCCAACTCCTGGCTCCACACAGGTCTACCCAAAAATTCAGACCATATGACTTATGAGCACAGTCCAGACGCTTCTTAAACTCTGAGAGGCTCAGTACCATGACTGCGTCCCTGGGGAGCCTGTGCCAGTGTGCAATCACCCTCACAGTGAAGAACCTCTTCCTGATACCCAGCCCGAACCTCCCCTGTCACAGCCTGACACCATTCCCTCGGGTCCTGTCACTGGTCACTGAAGAGAATAGATCGGCGCCTGCCCCTCGTGAAGAAGCTGCAGGCCGCGATGAGGTCCCCCCTCAGCCTCCTTTTCCAGGCAGAACAGGCCCAGTGACAGCCGCTCCTCGCACGTCTTCCCCTATGGCCCCTCACCATCTTTGTAGCCCTTTGTAGTACTTGAAATGTCTTTGTATTTTCTATATTAGGTTCTGACAATACTGGTTTCAAAAATACCTTTTAGGAGATAGCCTGATATTTGATTGCGCTATTATTTTTTTTCTGGTTAGTATAAGCCTCTTGGAGTCTGTCACTGAAACTGTTGCAATAAGGTGTGATAAAGAACCTGAGAGGCAAAATACAACACACATCTCCGTAACTAGAACACCAGCGTTTTTCAGTTCACTGTGCTTCACTATCCCTGTCTCCATCTCCAAGTGGCTCTGTGAGTAGTACAGCAACTAACTTACGAGTACATGGAAATTCTCATTCCAATTTTTGAGTTTTGTTGCTCTGTTATCAAAAAGTCACTTGGGTTCTCTGCTGCCATGAATTTATGAGGTGGAAAAGAACTAATACTGGTTCTTACAAATACTAGTATCATTTGGGTATCTGCAACCACCTTTTCTTTCAGCAACTGTTTTCAGCACCCACTACTAACCATTAGACAAAAATCATTGGATCATAGAATAACCTGAGTTGGAAGGGACCCATGAGGGTCATCGAGTCCAACTCCTGGCTCTACACAGGACCACCCAAAAATCAAGCCATCTGTCTCAGAATGTTTTCCAACTGCTTTTAGAACTCTGTCAGGCTCGGTGCTGTGGCCACTTCTCTGGGGAGCCTGTCCCACTGCCTGACCACCTTCTCAGTGAAGAACCTTTTCCTAACACCCAGCCTGAGCCTCCCCTGTCACAGCTTCATGATGTCCCGGTGGGTATCAAGTCATCATTTGTTCTACTCACTACACTGCTAGGTAGATCAGCAATATTTTTTAGCCTATGTCCTCAATGGAGCTGACAGTCATGCCCACACTCAGGCCTTCCAGTGCTGTGCCCTGAGCACAAACCAATCTGTTCTTGCTGACAAGCAGTGAAGATTTGATAATTGTCATTCTTATAACCCCCCTTTTAAAAATTGCACTTATTCTTCCTACTTTCTTATTTTCAACATTCTTACGTTAAAAAGAAAAAATAAAAAAAATGTGTTTCTTGTAGCATTATTTACTGTTAGCATGTGGTAAAATTGAGGACTTCAGAGATTTAGAATTTCTTATATCTGTCTCTAAAAATCCAGTGCGTTTTTATACATTTAATCCAAATAAATCATATTCCTGGTGTTTCTGGCATGTTTAGTACACTTTGCCCATCGTATACAATTGCAGCTAGGCATTATAGTCAGCTTACCTCATTTGCCACTACCTTCACTGTGTTTGTTGCCACATTATGTTGGTGATTTTTTTATTTTTTTCCCCTTTCTAAATCTAAATCCATTTTTGTGGTGGTGGTGGTGGTAGGTGTGTGGGTGGGTGTGTGTGAGATAGAACTATTGGTTCTTCTACAAATTACAAATATCAAATCTGTGTTACTGTCTGACTTACCTCACTGCCTGTCTTGCTTACTTCTGCCTTTATAGTAATGTCATCTTAAAAACCATGCTTCTCATTTTTTTTGTTGTTGTAATATTCCAGTTTTTTTTTTTTTTTTTTTTTTTCATGAAACGTACCAGAATCCATCTGATTAAATGCACTAATACTCATTCTGTTTATCATCTGAGTGAAATGCTCCTCCATATAAGGGAGACTGAGGAGAGAGCTATGAATGTTTACAGCAGAAAAGACATTGGAATTGAGTTGACAAATCTTTGTGAAACGGTTAAATAAAAAAATTAAAAATAAAATAAAAAAAAAAGATGAAAAGTATGAGTGGATGTGAATTTATAGAGCAAAACTCTGGTCCTTCTGAATTGAGCAATAAAACTGATAATTAATCTGGATTTTATCTAGAGCATTTAATCTTAGGAATAATATATACATGTATACATACATATATCAATAACCAGCATGTAACTAACAAAATCAATCTTCTTGCTCATTTGTTTATTAAGTATGGTATTCCACTTCATATAGCTTTGCCCTTTATACTACTAAAATATCTTTAGTAAGCTTTTGGATGTCTTTGTAAAAAATCTAGCATATTTTGAATATTGTGATAGTACAAACAATGATTTGGTCATGTTTTCTCTGTTGCTGTAGTTTGTAATTCCTTTGTCTTTATCATATTTTAGAAGGTCGGAAAAACATTGCTGCCTAAAACACTCCCCTTTTCCTTAGGCCCTGTCAACTTTCTGCTGAATTCTAGTACCAGATACCTTAGAAGAAGGCTAAAATATCTGGTATTAGGCAGCAAACCACATCTGGAAAAACCCTCCACATTTAGTGGTTCTATTTATGAAACATGAGGGTTTATATCCTCTATTCAACTTATTCTAACTAGAATTTAAGTGTGAATATTATTATTATTAGCTACACACAAGTTCAGTACTTTTTAAATACTATTAATCTTACTGCCGCAATTATATTTTGTTTCCCAAAATAATCCCCTTTGATTATCAGTACATTTAGATGTTTCACTTTCATTGATCGTTTCCTTTTTATTTCATGAGCATCTAATAACTGATAGTCTGTGTAGTCCAGCAGCAGTACTAACAGTGGTGTACACTTAGTGAAAGACTAGGAATTAGGCAGCACACAGAGATACTCTCTCCACTACTTTTTCCCAAATTCAGTCCTGAGTTCAGAGCTACTGAGAAGGAGAAGAGCATCCACACTTGCAGAGGATATCTTTTCCAAGAATATATCTGAACACATTTTCGACATTCACAACATTCTAGGGAAGCAAGTTATACAATTTAATTAATCATTGTGTAAAAAATATTTCTTGCTGTTTCTTTCAAGCCTGCTGCCTGATCATTTCCTTCAATATCCATTTGCTATTTTCTTAACAAAAATAGCTGGATGACTTTCCCTGTTCACCTAACCATACCATTCATGAAGGCATATACCATCCTCATTTTATTTCAAGAATCTTTGTAAATTTAATTTCTCCTCTATTGGAAGTCATTCCATATTTACAGTAATTTATCTTGCTTTTTTCTACACCCTTCCTAATTCTTTTCTAGAAGATTGTGATGGTCCTCGTTATTCACGTTACAAAACAAATGCTTCTATATAGATTAATAGTACATTTTTTCTTTTTCATCTATATTTATATATATATATATATATATATTTTTTTTTTTTTCCTGATAAAGCCAATCTGATTTGCACATTTGAGTTCTGCTAAACCATGACCTGATATTTTCACAGAACTCAAGCAATCTTTCCTGTGTGGTAGTCATTCATTTAGATTTCAGCATTTTACATGTATAGTTTGTTTTGTTTTCTCCCTTGCATATTGCTTCAATTTTTCAGAACAGAATTTAACTCGCCATTTTATCATTCAGTCACAGAGTATCATGAGAGCTTTCCACAATTCTTCACGGTCAGCTTTTGTTTTTATTACCATGAATAATTCAGCATCATCAGCAAACTTGGTCGCCTCGATAATCACTCTTTTTTCCAGATCATTTAGGAATATGCTGAACAGCACGGGTCCCTGTGGTACACTACCAATGACCTCCTTCTGCTGTAAAAAAAAATAATAATAATAATAATAATAATTTCTTGGCCCTTCACATATCTTGTAGTAATCTGACATTAATAACTAATAATAAGTTATTCATATATCAAAGAATGTACTTGATAGTCCTGTATCAGCTTATTCTCAAGAGTTGTGGGCAGAGAACTCCAACAAATTATTTTTTTGAAACTATTATTATGTTGTTTCAATCAATCCTAAACAACAAACTTACTAACTTCTGTAAAGAATGTTATCCTTTTTGCTGTTATATACACTTGTGAAGTAAAAACTCTTCATTTGTCCATATCACCAAACTAGATAGCTCTATCATCTCTTTAGTTTCCTTGTATTAACAGTGATGTTGCTTGGTACAACAGTTCCTCTGGATATTGTGGGAAAGGTTGATCAGTTTACCAGTCTTTGTTATATTAAACCACATTATTCTATCTTAAATCAATTCTTATCAACTTCATAAATTCCCCAGATGCCTTTGAGCAAAGTCCCAACATTTATTAGTAGCTATTCATCTTTTTGTGCTCCTGCAAACAATATCCTTAATCAACATTTCTTCCCAGCAGTCTGTGTTGATTTACTTTGTTTTATTGAACTAAGTTTTGAAGTGACTTGAGTAATTCTTACAAGCACAGCACCCTAAATAAAAGTCTCTTTTTCAACTTCAGGTCAGAACGTGTCTCGCTGGTCCAAGTCCCACAGGGTATTCTCCAGCATTTTATTTCTAGCCTCTTTCCGAAAAAGACAGCTTATTTGGAGGAAAGGAAAGAGGGGGAGCTGGGAGTGCTACTGCTCTCTACCATCTTAAATTCCAAAACATGTGACATATCTTATACTATTCTTTACTAAACATTCATACGGATCAAAAGGTCAATTTTTGACAACTACAGTATTATTTGCCTGCTCACCTTTTTCTCTTGTACAATAGCCTACCTGGAGATTTATTTTCCAGAGCAAATGCATGTTTTTCTAACGCTTGTTAAATATATGTACATTTACCTTCATTAGGGCTAGAGATCAGTTTTACTTTTTTCTTGCAAACATTATATACCAGAAGTGGTTGCTTATATCTTTCATACTGTAAGGTTGGCTTGTTCTTCACCTCAGCCAGTTAGCAGCAGCACAAGGACGGTGTTGTAGGACAGGCATGACTGCAGCTCTCACCCTAGTGTAGTGTTCTGTCATGCAAACAGGTGAAATGATTTTTTTTTTTTTTCCTGAAAGCAAATATATGTCTGTGGGGTTATAAGGCAAAGGGGAGGAAGTTCTCTGCTTCTTGATCTAATAAAATGTATGGATCCCTCTGTTATCACAGATCGATAAGAAAGGCTGGTCTTACCACTCTACAAGACCCAGCCAAAATATCCCAACAACAAAGCAATGATTACTTTCCAAGTATGTTAATACAGTTTTAGCCATTTGTGAGAACCTGGTTTTTCCCCGACTGTCCATGCAGTAGGTCTGACCAGCACTGAGGAGGACGGCTCCCTTTTGTGGTGTGTGGTTTGGCATCTTTACTTCCAGACAAAAGCAAGCTCAGACCAAACATTTAAGCCACAAGCCTGAGTAAATAATTCCATACCTGACAAGTAAGCTGCAATAGGTTAGCAGTTTGTATCACAAAACTAGGCTTAGATGTAAGCTAAACGGGCTGCTTAGATGTATTTTGACTCACCCTCTGCCCAACTCACGGGCCAACCTCAAACTGAAGACTTTCTGCAATGTATACAGAGAGCCCAGGCCTGTACAAGGTCTGAGATTGCCTATATATACAAACATGGTAACTCTGATTAGTGAAAAGGTGGCAAAAAAGAAATGAACTGGTTTTTGTTTTAAGAAATGAACATCATGTTCAACACCAGAAATTAAAACCCCGGTAACGTAGTAAATTAAAGCAATATGTTCTCAAAAAAAGAAAGAAAACACAGCAATTTCAAAGAACGCACAGTTGGACTGAAAATGGGACTTTTGCTATTGATTTCAGGAATCCACAACTTGAACTCTGAACTCTAATAATTTAAAAGGAGTAAAAAGTGTCTCACAGTAATTTTTAAAAGGTCATGTAAGTGACGGATGAGCTCACCTTTCCACTTTACTCTTTCATGTTAGAAAATGGAATTATTTTTGTAGATTTTTTTTTTTTTTTTCAAAACTGTGCTCTCACAACATCCCATCCTACAGAAGTTCTTCCAAACCCTTTTACATCTTACACAGGCACAATATTAGGCTTATTTAATAGGGATTATTTTACAGACTCCTACAAGAATGTGTAGATTATAAAAAAGAATATCACAGAGGAAAAAAGATTTTCAAGTGGATGCCGTCCAGGGTGGTGAAAGATATTCAAAATATAAACTCTTTAAGAAAAATATCTTCAAAGAGGAAAACCCAGAGATGTGACTGTTTTTTAAAAATGAAAATCTTCAAAGCAGGCATCTCTTTCTGTGAGGAAATCCTCAAAGAGGCATTCCTCCAGAGTGATTTCATAACTTTGAAAGAAATAACCTATACCTAAAATTGAAGGCAATATTTCCTTGATAGGTTATAAAGTGTTCTTAAAGGGAGAAATGTTGCCATTATTAACTACAGAGGTGATCAACCCCAACTTCTCACCAAAAAAATAAAATAAAATAAAATAAAATAAAATAAAATAAAATAAAATAAAATAAAATAAAATAAAATAAAATAAAATAAAATAAAATAAAATAAAATAAAATACCTTTTAACATAATGTTGAAGTTATGAAACTACATTATTACAATATTTTTAACAAAAGTATTGGTGACAGTATGCTCGTTCATCACTGGACGAGGGGTAGTTTCACACACACACACTGCATAGCTGAAAACAGCTTTTTCATTTCTAAAAGTGGCAGCAAGGAAGCTCGTGGAGTGGAGGCCAAAGGAAATACTTGTGTGAGACATGAATTATATTCTCTAGCAGTAACACAGAGTAAGACTTTTCACAGAAGAATGCAGGTTTTCAGCACATTTTTCAGCTGAGAATAGGATGGCTTTTACATCTTGACTGTTTTTCCATGAAGGAGGACTCCATTTCGTGTCACAGAGATCAGGTGCCCGCCCCCCTGCTCCCCTCGTGAGGAAGCTGCAGGCCGCCATGAGGCCACCCCTCAGTCACCTCCAGGCTGAAGAAACCAAGTGAATGCAGTTCCTCCTCATACATCATTCCCTCTAGGCCCTTCACCATCTTTGTTGCCTCCCTTTGGAGGCGCTCTAACAGTTTTGACTTCCTAACATTGTGGCTCCCAAAACTGCTTGCAGTACTCAAGGTGAGGCTGCATGAGTGCAGAGCAGAGCAGGACAGTCTGACACACTGAAACATGATGGCTTTCAAGATGACTGCTATTGAAGCATTTCTTGGAGCAAAGCCAGGAGATGACCCTACAGGATCACTCAAAGGGTCTGACTGCTGTGGCACACACTACTGGTGTATGAGCAAGCTGCAGCTGACCCACAGCCAAAGGCAAGCCAGAATGATTTTCTAGGCAAGATGTTAGAGTTCAAAGCAGCCTGGAGAAAGACAATCTTTCTTTTTTTTTTTTTATTGAAAATTTCAGAAATTATAAGATAAAATACATATTGGACCACCTGAATAGCCATTTTCCCTCTTACCTATGAAGTCTTGGCAGCAGCATAGAGCAGCATAGGTCACATACTGTTCCCAGCCATGCAGACCATACAATCAAAAACCAGAAGAAATTCAATAACACAGTTTACCCAACTCTCCTTTAGTCTCTTCTCATGCGGTCCTCACACCCTCCTCACTTCAGGATTTGTGTACAATAAACCCTTAACAGAACGCAGCTGAGGTGACACACCGACGCTGTGGTTTTTCATTGCTTTGCTCTACACACTACTTCCCCCTCCTCTATTTTTCTAGCAACAGTTTATCTGGCATCACTTAAGTATCTTTCTGTATTAAATATTCTGGATAAAATTATTCTTTCAGGCCTACTCATCTGAGATACTTTTTAGCATATACATTTCACAGAACTGTGATTACTGTAGCATTAGTGGAAGATTCAATACATATACATAGGATACAAACCTGACCCAAACAGCATACTCTATATGACAGAGGTCTTTCATAACTCTTTCTCTCATTTGGGGAGAGGCGAGTGCACTTGCAGCTCCAGCTTGGCAAGACTGGCCTGCTGAACGTAAAGCTTTGGTGTCATGAGCATCAGTGTCCAAGTAATTCTTAGATGATGCTTGAATACCACAGGTAGATCCAGTAACTTCCACTGCACCTTGAGGTACCGGGCTAAAAAGGCACCAAAAAGCAATTCATAAGCTAATAGTTTTGTTTTGGTGTTTTCTTTTTTCTTTCTTGTTTTTTTTTTTTTTTTTTTTTTTTTTCCCTCACTGCTCCACAGGAATTTCATGCTATGTTAGCTGCAATTTAAAGCTGACCTCCTACAGCAAATAAAAATTCCACTTATGGGGAAGTAGCAAGAACAGAACAGGGGCACCTCAGTAATTTTCCTTGTCAAGTCTAGCCCTCCTTGTCTTTGTAATTTGGAAAATAATAGAAAACTCCAGATGTTTCTGAGGGCACATATATTCCTCTCTAGCCTAAATGGTATTTTCCATTTGAAAATTGTAATTTGCTCTATCAACCATACAAAGCAGACACAGTTTTCTTTCTGTCATAATATAAACAGTTTTAGAAATGTTATGTGGTAAAAGGCACATCAGCTGACTGAGAATCTGAAAACAGGTGCCAGACAGAAGAGCAACAAGTCAGAGATGCAAGTCTGAAATAATCCTTTAAAGTTCATTACTTTTTCAGAATGGGTATCATTAAAAAAAATAATAATTAAAAAAAAAAAAAAGCCTTCATTTTGCCATTCCAAAAACTAATGTACTTTATAATTTTGTGAGTAATCTTCTGTGTAGTCTGCTGTCATTTAGGACTGCTGATGTAGCTGGAGAACAAGAGCAGCTTGTCACACTGCATTATTAACTGTCTGCTTGTAAACCTTAGAGACTTTCTGCCCACTTGTGACTTAATATCTCATTAACCTTTTACAATATCTGAACCCAAGAAAGATATCTGCATTTTGTGAATAAACATCAGCTATCGTCTCAACTTCTCTCATGAACAGCAGCAATGTTTAACAGTACGAGATATAGTCCAGTGATACGCATACTCTTCAAAACTTAGATTGTAAATTTGCCATAAAGAAGATTGTTACATGTCTATACCATTTAATTATTTTTTTTATTTCAGATATCAGTCCAATATAATGCTTGCTGTCTAATGTTGTGACTTAGGAACATTTATGTAAAAAAATATATATTTATATATATATATATATATTATTTTATATATATAAATATATATATATATATTTATTTTTTAAAGGTAAAATTGATCATTTGCAGGCAATGTAGGCATGGAGTGCCAGAAACAGAAGTCATTGTCCTGTGATAAGCAATCAAAATACTAGATTGCTCTTCACCTGATGCAGGTTTTCAGACAGGCTGGGATGCCCAGGTAATCATATTTTACATACGGGCAGGAAGAGTTAAGCCTTGGCCTTAAGGTGCAGGAGCTTGCTGGCTTCAGGAGTCAAGGCTGTGGACATCACTTGAGGATGAGCGGCATGTTCAGAGGCACCACGTCTCTCTCAGTTCCAGCCCAACCTGAGGCAATCCAGCTCCCTCCTATTACAGACAGACTACTGAATAAAACGGGGCTCTACACAAACATAGTCCTAAGAGCTGTAGAGACTGTTTACATATCTCTAGACATCTTTTTCAGCTCTGGTACTGTTATTTTTTTCCAAACACCAATTGCCATGCACTCGTTTTTGTTCTTAGTTGTATTTATATCTCAAAATGTTGCTGAGATCATCCCAGACATAAAGCTTAGGGACCACCTAGACCTAAATCCTTAAATCTCTGGCTTTTGATTGTCTAACAATGCTAAAGGCATGTTCTTAGTGCTAGAGAAACAGCAGACTTACATGCTCAGCTAAAGAAGGAAAGTTTTAGTATACAGTATGTTATTGTTCAGACACCACGTATTTTCATTACTGGCAAACAATAAAATAAAAGGCCATCACAGTATCTAGCTCCCCAGCTTACTCCTTACTCGCAGCATGCTTCCTCACGCTGCTACTTCTGGAATTAGATCTGACACCCTATGCAGTGCCCTATTAGGACCGTAGTCAGTTGGACAAAGTATTGATATTGCAGCTTGACAGTAGCAAAAACATAAAGCCAACAACAATTTTGGGAGTAATATCCATACGCTTCTACATTTTCCTCTTTCAGCTGTTTTCACTCTATTTTTCTTGTAAGGACATGTAAAATAAAGTAGGCTGGGGTTCACCAGAATTAACAAGTTAATAGCATTCATATGTTAGGAGGGCTTATTTTTCTCGAAGCAAATTAGTCTGAACATTAGTTAAGGTACTCAGACAAGTATAGTGAAGGCTTGACTAGAACAGTCTATTCTGGAGAGGTTTGCAACAAAATGTGAAGATTTAATAATACATTGTACTTAGATGTCAGAAGCACCTTTCATCCAAAGATCACAAATGCGGTACCAGCAAAAAAAATAAGTCTTACAAGTTCTTTGTAAGACACATCATAATAATCATTGTATGTTTTTACCGTTGGACATAACAATTCACTTCAAGTCACAGAACAGCGTAGTAGCAGAAGAAGAAAAAGATGTTTAGGGCTCAGTCCCAAGTCTTCCACTGTAACCACTGTCAAAACTGTCATACTAGCAGTGGGATTCTTTGGTAACAGGACAATCATGCCTTTGAATTTTATATCTCCAACAGTATAATACTCCATAAAGAAATTAATTAAAATGCATATTTTATGGGACTTCAAAAGTTGTATTTTAAATTCACAAATATTCCAGAATGCCTAGATTCTGATTAGCTCCCTCCTCTATGGCGGTGTTACACTGCATATTCTCAGCTTTCAGTGAAAAATATAATGATCCCAACTGTTATGGTTGGAAAGATAATTTTTAAATCATTTCACTCCTGGAGGTACAGACAGCCTGACACATTAGCTGTCTGAGAAGTGTGAGCTGCCTTACTAAACTGAAGCTGAAAAGTCAGCTTAAATATATAAGTATCAAGATATATATATATATTAACTCTTTTAGCTGACTGTCAGAGTACCTGTAAAAGGTAGGACATTGAGTAAACCACCCCAAACCTATTATCATCATTAAATGATTGATTGCTATCATATATAGTGTCTGTGAAGAGCCAATAATAAGCCACAAGCATTAATCCCAGTTATAGGCTTGTATAAAGTATGGCACGTTTATAGAATCAGTGCAGATTTGGACATTTACTTTCCAAAAATTGTCTTTTTCCCTGGCTGCCCAGGGAAGTGGTGGAGTCACCATCCCTGGAGGTCTTTAAAAGACAGTTTAGATGTAGAGCTTAGGGATATGGTTTAGTGGGGACTGTTAGTGTTAGGTCAGAGGTTGGACTCAATGATCTTGAGGTCTCTTCCAACCTAGAAATTCTGTGATTCTGTGATTTTGCCACCAAGTGTATCGATGGGAAAGAGGCATCTCCAAAAACAGTAGGGACACCAAATCATCACAGAATCACAGACTGGTTGAGGTTGGAAGGGATCATCTAGTCCAACCTCCTGCCGAACAGGGTCACCTACAGCTCATTGCATGGGATCGTATCCAGATGGGTTTTGAGTTTCTCCAGAGGAGACTCCACAACCTCTCTGGGCAACCTGGTTTTTACTGTAAGGGTGACAGCACTGGAAGGCTTTCCTCATATTTATCTGGAACTTCCCATGCCTCAGTTTGTGCTCATTGCCTCATCCCGTTGCTGGGTACCACTGAAGAGTCTGGCACCACCCTCTTCACACCTTCCTTCAGATATTTACGTACACTGATAAGATCCTCCCTCAGTCTCAGTCTTCTCCAAGTTAAATAAGCCCGGCCCACTCAGCCTCTCTTCATATGACAGATGCTCTAGCCCCCTAATCGTCTTAGCAGGCCTCTGCTGGACTCGCTCCAGTAGCTCCAGATCCCTCTTGTACTGGGGAGCCTGGAACAGGACACAATGCTCCAGGTGTGGCCTCACCAGGGCTGGGTAGAGGGGCAGGATCACCTCCCTCTGACCTCTGGCAACACTTCCTAACACAGCCTCGTATGCCATTGGCCTTCCTGGCCACAAGAGCACAGTGCTGGCTCATGGTTAACCTGCTGTCCAGCAGCACTCCCAGGTCCTTCTGCACAGAGCTGCTTTCCAGCAGGTCAGCTCCAGCCTGTAATGGTGCATGGGGCTATTCCTCCCTCGGTGCAGGACCTTGCACTTGCCTTTGTTGAACATCATGAGGTTCCTCTTGGCCCAACCCTCCGGCCTGTCCAGTTCTCTCTGAATAGCAGCACGGCCCTCTGGTGGATCAGCTACTCCTCCTGGTTTTGTGTCATCAGCAAGTTTGCTAAGAGTACACACCGTCCTTCAGCCAGGTTGCTGATTGTGAACTTCCATGAAAAGTGGTTTCAAGGATGGTGGCTAAGATCACAACATCCCATCTCAGCAGCTGTGACGATCCATAAATCCAGGTCACTGGAGCCCTTTTGCAATGCCCATTTCCAGGTATCGAAAGGAAAGCGGCACAGTTTAGGCGGTGGTGATGCAGAGGTCAGTTGGGAAGAAATACCTTTTGGATGACCTGCATTAGCCACACAGGCAGCAGAACACACAGAGAGAAGACAGCTGAAAAAGAGCTACATTCTGATTTGTCTTCTACATTTGCAATTGTCACAGCTTGTTAATAAAAGCATCCAGATTTTAATTAATCTGAAAGTGGTGTAGCATTTCAGGCAGAGCAGCATCAACTCCCCAGACCTTGCTGCGGAACACAAGTCTTCTTAATTCTGGGTACACTGGACCTTTATTAAATGTCACAAAAGTAAACGTAGTTTGGAGACGTGGAGAGCTACTTCTATATCCAGTTTTTTACTTAATTAAAACGTAATTGTACCAGCAGAAATTCTAATACGACTTGCAATTAAAAACATTACATTTTGTATTAATTCATCCTTCATTAAAATTTCAACAAAAAATAGAAAACAGTACTCCTGCAAAGACCAAGAAGGAGAGAGATTGCAGAAGGCCCTCTGTGAAACAGTCACATTTATGCAAGGGGACTGCTGATCAGTTGAGAGGGAAAGCTGTGGAAGAGAACCTTTCTGCAATATTTTTCTTTCACAGCCTGGTAGAGCTGCTAGAAGGAATTCCTGGCGGGAGTAATGCTGACCATAGCTGAGAAGCAGCAAGCTTTTAGTTGCGTGCTTATCCCCTGAGTCACTCCATGGCAGTCTTTCACCTTACTGCCTTGCCCCAGCGTACATCCTTATAAAGAAAGAAGCAGTACTTAAGTATATCATCAATATCAGCATGGCATTAAGATGATCAGTCCCAGGCTTGTTGTGTGCTACCTTCCTCTTCCAGACTAGCACAACTAATCTTTTTCTCTAAGCACACTTCATTTAACATGATATAAAAAGAAAATTTTAGCTTGTAGAAATACCGCATCGGTTATCAGAGTGAGTGTGTATGGGTGAGGACATGAGCGACAGATAAGTAGAAAAAAGCAAAATATGGTTATTTCTTAAAGACATTAGTGCTGATAACATAACAGTCAGGTTATTAGAAGCCAAGGTGTAGAATACCACCTTGGTATTCTACAGGCTCTGGGGGACGCTGCCTTCCCACTGCTGCTGCCCCTGCAGCATATCAGGCTTTCTTCATGTCAGGTTTATTTCAATATTCTACCAAATGCAGTTCTCATATCCCTCAACATGCTGCAACAGTGCACGTTACAAGTCTTGGAAATGCAGAAAGTGGCATTTACTGGTAGTGTACATCAGGCCATGCTCTATTTCTTTGAGAATCATTTATTCCAGCTTCCATAATGCCTTACAATAAACAGCTGAACTTTTTTTTTCCTTAACTGTAAAAGGATGGAAAACTTCTAATGATTGTCAAGATGAGCATCTCATTACTGACTCTACAGCCAATTCACCGTGGAGAGTTTTTGTTTAAAAGGCAGCTTGTTCAAGCCAGGCTGTGGTTCATCCTTTGAGACACCCAGCTCGCAGACTACTGCTCCTTCCTTTAAGTAGCAGTAACTTTGTCATCTGCCTCTAGCAATTCTTTGGGATGTCACACATCAAAACACAGCTTTTCTTCGTTCATCCTAATAGGTAGCAAAGAGTTCAGAGTTTTTAGGTTCAGAGGCTGATGTAGTCTTGTTTTGACCCTTCTCAACACGGTGAATGCCCTGCAGTGCTCTGCGCTGGAGTGCAGCAATCGCAGCAGAATTCTCATCAATCTCATGGAGAGAGGCAGCACATCTGAGCTGCACCACAGCTTAGGAGCACTGCCCCTGTATCTTAAAATCTGATGTTGCAGCCCATTTGCGGCAACGGTAGATGCCTCAATAGCTGCAGTTAGTCTTGCTGAATATTCAGCAGCAGCTTTGTGTTCCTCATTACTGCCAGCTCTAAGTTTATTGGCAGCATTTAATATCTTTTAATTAAAAGCAAGCAGAAGTAACAGTATACCTTAACCAAATGTTATAAATAAAAACGGCTTGTTTTTCTTTTCTGCTTGGAACGAGAAAGTCATTACCATCGCTATGGCATGGCAAGAAGTGCATTCTCTATCTGTTGCTGTTTCTGCTTTGGATGCAGAACTTGCCAGAGTGACAGACAGCATTGCACGTTCAAGCCTGCGTGGCCAGCAGCTCTGTGCTTCCCTGGGCTCAGAAACTTCAGCTACTGCTGGATGCTAACTCTATGTAATAGATAATAATAATGCTTTGGTTTTATTTAAAATGCTGTGTTGTTTTTTTTTGTTTTTTTTTTTTTTTTTTTTTTTTTTTCCTACACCTAGCACTTGACAGAGGTACATATCATTACCATTATTTTATAGATGAAGAAGTTGAGAGAGGGTAAGCTATTGGGACTGGTCTACTGTCACAGTGCTGAGGTTTGAAGAGCATGGATTTTCTTGGACCAATTCAAAGTCCTTGAAATCAAAATCAAAATAATGAAAAGATGTGTTTTCTTCACGGGGAGATTTTTCAGTGGCGTGCCACTTCGATGTACGACAAAACTTGCATCAGACAGAAGGATAAGAAATGAGAAGGTAAATGAAAATATAAGAAAAAGTATTATGAAGTGAAGCAAAATGTGAATAAGAAACAAAAAGTGAGTATAGATTTACAAATGAGGTAAGAGACCTCTAAGAAAGCCACATTACCTGTCTTAGACAACTTCTACCATCCAACTTAGGTGCGATGCAGTGTTTCACCCCTCAGCTACTGTTGGACTCTTATCCAAAACAGTGGAGAGCTGCACACCCCTTTCCCTCATCCATCAAGTTATGAAACACACTGCCCATTACAGGAGAGGCACATATGACAGGACACACATGGCCTCGTAGTTACATGACCAGTCATGCAACCATCATGCAACAACACACAGCATTTTTGCCAGGAAGAAAGGATAGCAACTAATAAGCAAGGTCAGTTGTTGTGGAAGACCCTGAGGTAGCGATTTCCCTGCTTTTCAAAAGTTAGGAGCATAAGTTTCTTTCTTCTAAAGCAGAAGGTTTAAAGGGGGTGGGCAATCTATGTTATACATCTAAAGTTAGATGCTTTGCTATTAACTACAGAGTGCGAAAATACACCTGTAAAACTCTGAGTTGCTTGTCTGCAATCACGTTAATCATGTTGATTTACACACAAGCTGCTTAAGGTTAGACATGCTTTATCTGCTGCGCACTAGCCATTCAGACAGCAAATGTTTGGGGCCATTTCCACAGTTTCTTACTTTTAAGGAATCTCAGCTGCAAGCAACGGCTAGAGAACATAAATCACTGGAGAGCCGGCTGATCCCTGCTGAGCTCCACGCCGAGCACCCTGTGGTGCCATTGGCCTGCTCTGGTTTATGCCATCCAGCAAAGAGCACAGGGCCCAAAAACACAGCCTAAAGCCTGCCAGATACATGACCACCTCCGGGTCGGCTGAACAGCTGGATTACTCTCACAGTAGGGCTCAAATATCACAGCCACAGACATTATTGCTAAATAGTCAACAAAATGTCATTTGCGGTGCAAAGTAGCTGATAGTTACTACTTCAGAGCTGTTTATTGTTGCATGGATAGAAGCCAAAACTACTCTTTATGATAAAGTTAATGGTGTACAGTTTGTAAGTTAGTTATAACAACACCTCAAGCATTTCTACAAAACTTAATTTAATATTCCAACTCATTAAAAATCTTATTATAGAAACCACTTACAGGCTTTATAAACACATTTTTGTATTATTAGGGAAGGATCTTAATAAAGAACAGTTTGAATGCAAAAATGCACATGTAGAGTAAATTGCTTATAGTAAAACTAGCTAAATGAAATTTGCTGTCAGCAAACCTCCCGACTAGTTTCTTCATCTGTGTTACAAATGTGCTATGTTTTTATGTATGTAGACCTTTTTCTAATCGAAAGAACGTACCAGAGAATTCCAGCAACTGAGATAATGGTGTTAACGTTGGCTGTAATGATGCTCTATGAACCAAAATATCCCGGAGCAGTCAATGATGAGCACACACAGTTGATTATGACAATGGATGCAACTCCCATCCCTAGATATTTATCTCTTTCAAGCTATACCAATTCTTTAATAGTAAAAATGAGAAACAATATTGAATTTTGGAAAAGCCTCTTGTAGAAAACCAGTTTGGATCTACTTATAACAGTATTTGTTATGTTTATCTACTAAATAAGCTACTGCTTTATTATTTTTATTTATTGCCAGCATACTGTGACATTGTGTGGTGATATACCAGTAAAAGTATTCATTAAAAGAATTACCTGAAAGCAAACATGTTTCATCTGTGTAAATGATTTTTTAATGAGGCAATAGACTAACAGTGAATTAATGATTGCTTTGTCATCAGAATAGAAGCCAGTAAGAGTTTGCATCAGAAATGCCATAGTCTTCACTGGCATTACTGTTGTTGCTATTCATACTATGTAAATTTTAGAAACCTGTAATATTTACATCTGATATAACAGATATTTTCATCCTTTTGTTTTAAATTTTGTGCACTAACAGGCTGAAATAGGTATAATTTCAGACTTTTGTAAATAAAAAAAATTGTTGTTTATAATAACACTTCAAATGTTGATCTGCAGATCCCTATCTTAATGAATTAGTAGTGTTTTCTACATGCAAAATAAATGCAAAAGGTCAGCTTATTATACAAACTACTGTGATATGAATTAATTTTGTTTTTCTGCTGAAACTGCATGCAGTCACAGAGGTTTATATGGAGAAATATTACTAAGTTTTGTTCACTGACATACCACAAAATACAAAAAAAGAGACAAGAAGCGCAAGTCACTGAAATTACTCTTACGCGCAGCCAGATTGTTTTTAAAAACAAGCTTTTCAGATTCTTTGACAGCAGACCTGTAGCTGCAGCTAACACTCCATTTCTGCTTTCTCTTTCTCACACCTCTCTCCAGAAGTACTCTCCTGAGCCTGACGGAGCCAAATCATGCTCCCTGTAAGCCACAGACAGCCCCCCTCCATGAGGCAGGATCCAAACCAGTATTTCACACTTAGTTGTGGTCAGGCCACCTGGGTCAGAGAAAGGGGAGGAGGACCTGTTTCTAGCTGTCTTCTGTGGTAGAAGAGGGGGCATTAAGAGATGGGAAAAGGTGGGGAGTCAGAGGCGTGGGGCACAGGATAGATCAGTGAAGTTATTAACATGACATTAATTATGAAAACACTGAACCAGGCAGCAAGACCTGCTAAAGAGGCCTTGCAGGGAGAAACCAGGAATCCATGGCCCCTCATCCGAGGGTCAAAATCCATATACATTAATACCCTCCATACCTTCCTCCCGTTTTCCCAGTGCTCACCAACAAGCTGTGGGCATATGTGGGCTTTCTCACACGCATCTGGCCCCATTCTTCCCTTCCAGCCAGAAATTACTTCCAAATGGTTCTGGTGGAAACAGACTCCCAGAGAAGCAGCCTAGCTTGAGGAACCAAGTAGAATGTAGCAAACACAGTCCTTAGTGTCCTCACCTGTGTGACTAACAGTGAATCCACACTCAGAGCAACGTTCATAATTAGCTTTCTTCTTCATCACCATGCACATGGAGAAGTGGTCGGCAGGTGTTTGTCCCCACCTGCTTGCATCCCGTTGAGCTCTTCAACCAGGAGCCCTCTTGCATCTTGTAAGAGAATGAGGAGCTGTAATAGACATTGCTGCTAACTTCTGGAGGTTTTCTGCAGGGAGAAAAAGTAATTGGTGCAATGGAGAATGATGTGAGGACGGAGCCAAGCACCCTGGGGGTTTCTGCTGGCCCCGAGGTGTCATTGTCACTTCTCCATGCTAACCCAAACACCCCAGGAAAGCATTTCAATAGTATTTAGCTGCAGTCCGTGCCTGGCAGTGCTTCACATAGTTTGTAAGACATAAGTCCAGTCCTATGTAGCTCTGTTCTCCCCTTGGCCTTTCTAAGATTTCCTGCGCTGTACCACTTCTGCTTTACCTGGACACTCCTCAGCAGTCCAGCCTCAAGGGGTGGAGGGGAAGACATTTGGGTATGACACTCACAACAGAAAAACTTATTTTCCTTGCAGAAAATGCACATTTTGAAGTCCATCAGGGATGGACTGCCTCCATCGTGCCTGTAACCCTATACACCAGAGGAAAAGAAGAGGGAAGGATGTGCTCTAGTGTGAATAAAACCTTTAGTACTGTTTGCCTGAGATTTTTTTGCAGTTATGTGTTCTGTTTTTTTTTGGTTGGTTGGTTGTTTTTTTTTTTGGGGGGTGCTTTTTTTTTTTTTTTTAAACAAATTTTGGGAAGTCAGTATTGTATTTCATCCTCTAGTGCATTTGCTTGTGACCCCTTCATTTATCACAGAAATAGGTCTTACATTTACAAGTATGGAAGACACATAAGAAAAGATTTTATTTTTTTTTCTCTTTTCAATATCTATTCCATTGATGCTACCCTTGTGGGCTTTCTATTGCTGTACCTCACTCCCAATGCAAATGTCATCATCAGGTAAAAATAAACTTTAAGACTACCTAAAAGACTACCTAACAAAGTAGCTTTGTTTGCCTTTAGCAATTTAATATATCTTCAGCATAGAAAGTTTGCCCACATGTGGATGAAAAAGCTTTGGTGCATCTGTATGCGCTCCTGATCTGACTTTTCTCTCCTCTGGGCCCATGGGCTGAACTGATTTAAAGGTGCCTGATCATCTTCTAAGTACATAGCCACAAAGTTCAGCTGGTGCTTTGTGATTAAATCTTCCCTCAAAAGCCAGAAAGCTGAAGTGGCAGCACTAAGCCTACAACCAAAGTGCCTTTAGCAGTTCCTTTGTGTGGCATCTGTCGATGCAGAATCCAAGAAATTAAATCCAAAGAAAAAATACAGTTATAATATAATTATGAATATGCTCCTGCATTTCTGTAAATGCTTGATATTTAATCAAAATAACAAATATTCATTCCTTACCAGGACTTACTGATGTGAGCCAGAGGAAGATTGAAATGTTGGTTGTTTTTTTTCAAGCCACAGATGTTACCTTATCTCAGGGAAATGACAGCAGGTTCTGAGGCAGAATGTTGAACTTTTCTACCGTGTCTGCTGTGCCATCAAATAGGTTGTCGTGATCCTGGTTCTTACTGCGACGTGCCAACAAAACTAATTTTATATCACTTCTTGGAGTTCCATAGCAGGATGCTGTTCACTGCTAATGTATTTTCATTCATATATATATATACAGAAAGAATCTGTGATAGGTGACAGTATATCACCTTGTTATTTTTAGTCCAAGTACATAATTTATGTTATTTACTGTTACTGGGGCTCCAGGCTGATTCAGGACTGTGATAGTGACTCAAATCAAGTTAGAAAAAGAACATTAGCATTACAATCTGTACAAGCTATGAACCAGAAAATTCAGATTCAATTTGGGGGATGAGAGAAGGCTGGAGATACTTCACCTGCTCCTATGTCATGAGTGCAACACAACCAGATACGTTAGATAAGGATTTCCTCTTTTAAAGGCAAGCATAAATGAAGAGGACCAGTGCTGTGATGATGCAGAATTACATAGCTCTGTTGAAATAATGGATCCAGTAGGGTATCTGGAGACAGTTTAAAGATACTGCTTCCATGAAATTTGGCTGGACCAGTCAAATCAGCAAGACGAGATAGAGCTGGAAAATAATCAGAAAACATTTTGCCTGTCAAAATTCCATTTCTGTTTTTTTCTAAAAAGCAAAGTATGGGCAGGTGGGCTCTATTTGCTCCTCCTCCTTTATTTCAACCATTTAAATAGCCAACCAGTTGCCTTACTATTACTGCATCCTGCTGTATCAGTTATCTTTTTTTTTTTTTTTTTTTTTTTTGTGACTGGTATATTAAATATTGGGGATTGGGTTTTATCTACTGCTATCACTTTCTGTAATCCAATCAAACGAATCTTCTCAGCTGCCCTTAAATAAAAGTAAATAATATTTCCTAAATCATTAGTAGACAAATCCTCAGTGTTAAAAATTAGATGTCACATCACAAAACACCTTTAAGCATATCTCTATAGATAGTGTATACAAATATCACATTTTTTGAAATGGAAAAGAAATCCTAAAATAAAATCCTACCATCCAATCCAAGTAACATATTCCAGGTATCTGGATGAAATGATGCACTAAGAAGGCTATAATGTATAATTAATAATTACCACATTTCTCTCCTCAAAATCGTGCTCATTCCCATGAAGTCAGACCTATTTCCTGATCAAGCCACTGTTCTGCTAGAAAAAAAAAAAAAAAAAAAAAAAAAATTAGATGCAAAGTATACTAAACAGTAATGAATAACTTAAAGTCTTGCTTTGCATATCCATAATGCTCTGCTTCCAAGGATTTCAGATCATGCTTCATAAACTTTAATTGAGCTGCCTATCTCCCTATGACATAGGAAAAGATTACTTCCTGTGTTTTATAGCGAGATGATAGCACAGAGAAATACAGAGGCAAATCCTGCCCTCAAGCAAATGGCCACAGAGAGTCTCCTCATTGACTTACCAGTACAGTGCTGCTCTGCAAGCACTACTCTGAATTTATTTTACAGGTAAGGAACAGAGGAGGATGCTCTAGCTGTCAGTGCTAAGGAGCCTTGCTGTTCCTTGAGGCTGTCTGGGGAAGCAGGCGGGATCCTTGTGAAGCAGGGAAGGGCTTCTCTCCTGCACTGCCAGCTGGCAGCACCCGCACGGGGTTAGCATCTGCCTCAGGAGCTCTGCAGGCTGAGGGCTGGGATTTTTTTCCCTGCTCCTCTCTATATGTTACCAGCCAGCACACTGGCAGCTGCAAATGTACCGCTGGCGACTTAAAAATCCCCATTTCCATTATATTTTAAGTTCTCCATGACACAAGTGAAATAAGGAGAATGCACAGAAGCTAATTCTACTGTCTCTTGAAATGATGGTTTCTGGGATGAGCCCAAAATTACAGCTTTTCTTTTACGTAGCTTCAGATTTCACATGTCTTCAGTGGTTTCAAAGACTTTAGCATAAGCACAAGCAAACAACACATTCATGGTCTTCCGGTTTTCTAGGTTAACTCACCACTTACATTGCTCTTATTGTTGTATTTGTTCTCACCTCTGCTTTGCCTTATCTCCTGGAGAACTACAGACACCCATTCCAGAGCTCTCTTTCATCCTGCATGTGCAAAAGTACAACAGACACCACATGAGAAACAGCCATTGCAGGTGAAGTCATTTACAAAAAAGAAAAAATAGCACAATTACCCACTGACAAGGCTACCAACTTAAAAGCACATGAAGTCGAAGTAGAAACCCACTGTAGCTAAGTTTAACAAGTGACTTTACACTTTTTAGTCACCCTCCCCACTGCTGTCCCAGACACCGTTATCAGCTGAGTTTCTGCTTTGTGAATAACCTGGTCATTGCATGGAGGACAGGGCAAGGCCGTACACGAAGCAGGATGCCCGAATCATCATTCATTACTCAAATTTCAGTACCACGTAAGCTGAGCTGAGCACTGTGCAAATAAAAGGATGATCTTTCACCACAGGATGCCAAAAAGTGGCCCAAAGAAACAAGTAACAGCTCCACTGTGATAACAGCATTGTTCTATTTAAGCCAAGGCATAAGTCTCAAACAGGTATAATCAAGAGTAATAGGATGTGATAAACAGCAGGGCACAAAGCATTTTGCTGGGGAAAAATGGGTGAATTTGATCCGTAGTTATTCTCAAGGCATACAACTAAGAGTGGTTTTAGCATTGCCTCTCACAGAAAGCCATTTAAAAACCTTGTTTACTAAATTAATACTGTATTTGTTTCTTAGAAAATGCTTTGTGTTGTATTTCTGTTTCTAAACTTGTGGCACTACAACCTTGTTTTTCCAGCAAGTTCTTCTGTTTCCTTTTGGTTAAGCTATGGAGAGGCAAAAGGTCCCCCCATCACCAGGAGAAATCACCCACCCTTTTGGTGCTGCTCACCACAAAACCAACTCCTTTCCCGGCCTTTGCTCATTAACAGATAAACAATTAACTCAATCACAAAGGCACTTTGAGCCTGTCCCCAGTCTCAGCTGCTCCTAGTACCCCCCACACCCCGCAGCACACAGCAGCAGGGAGCTGCCCTCATGGCGTCAGGGCCTGCTCCCACAGCGAGGCCTGCAGGCCGGGAGCCCGGCCCGCAGCTACCTGTAGCTCTGGAGCTGCTGCATCAGGGCGAATAAACTGAATTGCTGAGGGGAGTGTTGCCACAATAGAATAGCAGCAAGCATTGTGTTTTAGTGCAGCACAGTTATAACCGGTAGCGTCCCCAAATTGCTGCGTGACAGCCACAGGCTAGCTGCCCCACACAAACAATTTAGCAAAGGCTCCGGGATGTGCATAAATTTACAGTATCTGCCCACTGCTAAGGAAGAAATACATTTGAAGCTGGCTTTCTTAGGATTCTTGTTTAGCTGTTTATTCTGCCATTATTGGAGATCAATACCTCTTCAAAGGGAAGATTTTTATGAATGACTGCAGTAATATTTTAACTCCAAAGAAATTACTTAGAATTCCAATTTGTCCCCAATTCTCCTGAGTACCCCAAGGTCACGTCCTGTCAGGGCAGAGCAATATCTGTGACTGAATCTGTCTGAAAAAGGAGAAGGCAGGGCAGCAGGTCAGGTATGCTCTCCAGGTTACTCCTGTTTATTATGGCAGAAGGCTTCGTAACCTGGGGAAATGGGCTTTTGTTGTTCCCACTGATCTCATTTTCTTGGCATGTGCATGCTAAGCAGGAAAGCAGATGAACTCTTGAGAAACAAAGATACTTTTTTAATGCAAATGCTTCTAGTATCTCAGAATAAAGAAATATGGAAAGTATAGGCTATATAAGCAGAATTGTTTTGACACAAAGAAATGTTTAGCATGACTTTCCATAAAGCAGCTGCGGCTCTGTGAAGTCAGCAGAACTGTGAAGTGACAACATCCAGTGTTTATTGTTTATAATTAGTGATTTCTCTCCCTACTTCAACTTCAGTGTCCATATTACTGTGTACAAACCCAGCACAATTATCCTCATTTATGGATAGTTGGAAAACTGTCTTCTCCCAGAGATTATAGTCCAAAATGATTGTGTGCGTATGTGTGTATTCAAAGGTAGTAACGTTGTGGGTAGGATATATGCAATTTAAAAATAATCCTTCTGTGAAGGTAATAGCTGAACTTTTTGTGGGAAGAAAACTTCTAATACTTTATAACAAATAGATTACTATAAAGAATAGATTACGTAGCCTTTCAATGACATGAAATGCAGGACTGAGCATGTAGTTTTCTGATGCGATGTGAGCTCTCATCAAGCAGGAGGCCAGCTTAGTTTGGCAATTAAAGGAGGCACAATAGGAAACACCCGGATCTCTGTACCTCTTCTGCAGAGAGCAAAGGGCTCAGAAAGTGTTCGCTGCTGTCTGGAAGAATGGTTGTGGTAGCACATGCCACCACATGGAGATGGGATGGTTCAGCCCCCGTGGACGTGCGACGCTCCCACATGAGGCAGTGGCTCCCATCCCAAGGCGGGAGCCTGGCTGTGACACTGGTGACACTGTGCCTGCTGCCAGGAGAACACACAGCAGAACAGGTTAGATTTACACACCATTCTGCTTCTTCAGTCATTGTCTTTTCATTTCAGAATGCTTCAAAACCTAGAATTTAAAGATTGCCTATGAAATGAAGTGGCCAGAAGTGCTTGGCACCTGAACAAGAATCTTTGTTTTGATGAAAACAAGATGCCTTCTGCTTTTGACCTTTCTATTCTTTTACCACAGGGAGACACACCATGCTGTGAAAAGTTATTTCAGAGCATAGCTTAAAAAAAACAATTTGTTGTTGTTGTCATGTTTTTAGCCACAAAGGAAGTTTGGGTTTCTTTTCCTGCCGCTGCCAGGTTCTGCCCAGCAGGAAACTCCCCCTGCCTCCATGGTAATGGCAGCCGAGGCCCAGTTTGGACAGAGAGGCTCTGAGCCTGGTACCAGCAGTGGGAACCGCTTCCGTGCTGAGCTTGGGCAGCTGATGCCTAACACTGTGCAAGGGCTGTGCTCATTCTCCACAGCAGCTCCTGTGCTTAGTTAGAAAACATGCGAGATGGTGTGTGATGGAAGGGCATGATCTTGCAACAGATAGATCATTATCACAGAGGCTAATTACCCTTTGCTGATTCCTGGACAAGGAGATTAGCATCAGTGAGGCTGGGAAATCTATCAAGAATAAAAAGAGACACAGAAGACAAACAATGGAAATTAGATCCCACGGTTAAACAAAGCAGCAAGACGTTTTCTGAGGCAGAATGAAGCCCAGTGCTCCCTCGTCCTCCCTGCCGCTCGCAGGAGGGGGAGGAAAGGTACTGATAAATTGTGGCTCTTTTGGCACCACTGAGCGCAGCAGCCAAGATGACAAAAGAGCTGCTGCCAGCCTGTGCTGAGCCACGTGCGTCACATCCCAACCACAGACACCGCTTGGGGACAGCACAGCAACTTCACCTGCAACAGAGCTGAGGAGCAGCAACACCACAACAACCGGCCTGGCACCCGGGGACTTGGGTGCCATCAGCAACGGCCTTCAGGCTTCCAGCATTTGAGCATGTGTGCTTAAACATAAGACCTGAATTTATAGGCAAACAGTTACAACAGAGAAATAGGGTGACATTTTTAAAACCACTTGGCAGTGATAAACCTTCCCTGTAATGAGGTCAGTGGCATTTCTTTCTACATGTCTTGAATGGAAACCAAATTAGGTCTGTGATGAAGTGCTTTTGTAAATCAGACCTGTGCAGTAAGCAAGCAGGTACAGCGTGTTCCTCTCTTCGACAGGTTAGGGATATCTCCTGTCGTGCAGTACAGCTTGAAGTACTTCTTGATGACAAAGAAACTATTGATTATATCTAGAAAAAACAAGGTCATTGTGCATATGAAAGCAAAGATATTTGAAATGTTCCTAATAGGTTACAAAATTACACATTTGAAATTTAAAAAGAAAAAGGAATATATGTTTGTCTCTCTAGAGTTTCCCTACACAATTAGGAAAAAAGTGCACCTGTGTTAAGAAGAATGCAAAAACCTTCTTCCAGGAGAGCAGGCCACTTGTAGTGAAGAATTGCTAACCGCCAAACAGTCAGGAGGCTCAGAGAGGTGCATTTCTATGTCCTTACCCAAGCAATAATGCCCCAGTAACACTACACCACAGTAATGGATAGAAAATTAGAAAAATCCTCAGGAAAAAAGCAGTTTATGAAAAGATTAGACACACAAGTGTGTGTTGAATATGCATGCACAATTGCATGCTTAATTTGCACACCCAATTATTGCCATTGTGCATAAAATTGAATAATTACCCATGAAAATAACTGATTATGGTTATTTACTTCTATAATTACTTGATTTGCACATACAATCATGGTAATTAGGCACACAAATTAGTCATCACACAATTGCATGCCTAACCTTATTAAGAATCAAAATCAATGTATTTATTTTAAATTGCGTTTGTCCAATGCTGTTGTACTGTGATTTTGGCTGGTTGTGGAGCTGACACATGGAGCACAAACCAGTTTCAGAGCCTGCCTTGCCCTGCTGCCACTTGGCAGCCGTCTGCACAGCCCATGAGTGCTCTGGACCCCCCTGGACCCAGTGCTGAGCTCCTGCACAGGAGACTGTAGTAACGGCATAAAAAAGAGAAAAAGCAGGCAAAATGTGTCAACATTTTTCTAAACGGCATACAGTGTTCAAGTATGTACGTTCAATTCAGGAACAAGGTAAATTAAAAAAAAAAAAAGTTTTAACAATTCGTGAGGAGGAAATGGGAAGTAATACATGTATATAGGAAACATTTTAATGATGCTTTTCAGCATTAAATCTGTGAAATTTTGTAAGTACCGTATAATCAGTTAGTATAAGATTTCTGAAAATCCAGAGAAACTGTTATATTCAGTTCATAGTCAAAGTCAGCTAAGGATGGAGATGTTAAATGCCCAAGCCTGCATCTATTCTCTGATACAATCCCAGTAATAAAATCCAATTTCATCTCCTAGATTTGTGATTTCACTTATTAGTCTAAATGTCTTCCCTTTGTGGATGTCCTGTCTCCAGGTGCAGTAGGTGAAGATACCTTTATTAACTTTCCTATAAATCACATTTTGCTAGGAAACATAATAAAAGCCTGGGGAATTAGTCAATAAAATAATGCTGCTTCTCTATCACTTAATAAATGGCTGGGTCCTGCAGTTGGAACTTGGTATGCTCTCTAATTAAAAAGAACAAATATGAGAAAAACACTGGCAACTTGAAATATTGAGCTGTTTCATGTTTGTTACTGGAGCCTTCTTGAGTACAATTTTCTAATAATTGGGCCAGATGGACAAAAAAAAAAAAAATAGCATGACAGCTTAAACTGAGTATGTTTCTATATAGAAAGAATCATGCATAGAGGATTTGTGAATTTCCCTATACATAAATCACCACAAGCCCTACTGTGTATGTGCATATAATCTACTCTTTTTCCTGCCACTTTTGAGTTAACACCAAGGTAGTTAATGTTAGAAGAAATATAGGGGTTAAAACATTTTGTCCTGGATGTATCTTTTTTGTTGTTGTTGTTGTTAATTATGTCTTAATTTAGTTCTTGCTTAATGCACTTTAGAATGAATTGTATTTCTTGTAATTGCTTTATTATTACTTGACATTAGACCTTATGTTAAGCAATCAAAATGGGATGGCAGGCTGAAAAGGAGGGAAGATGATCAAGATATAGTGAAGATGAGTTTGCATCTCTAAAGCAATCACATAGTGCCCAACTGCCAGAAACGTTGTAGGATTATCATTACACTTGCTCTAGATGACATTCTATCAAAGAGAAGAAGAAAGAATCCCTGAGCAGCAGCTATTTGATTTCCCTTAGCTTGCAATGGAGATTTGCTCTGAGTAGCTGCACGCACGGGAGACCTGCTGCCAGCCCCGTTCTTCTTTGCCACCGGGTGCTGAAACCACCTCGCCTGGCAAGCCACAGGCCTTGGGGTGCCTGAGCGAGCACCTGGGCATGCCCACCTCTGAAACGCCCGCTGAAGTCAATGGCAAAAATGCTTTAATAAAACCAGCTAATGCCCTGATACAAAAGCTCGCTGCCAAATCCCTTAAAATATTAGTAGATCTAGGTGTCAAAATATGCCAGAAAAATATAGTGCCTTTGCAACATAGCCCCATTAGTATTTTATGGCAGTAAGAACCTTAAGACTCCCCTATCTTAAATCCTAAGGAAAGCCGTTTAATAGAAATAACTCAGGACTTCCAAAGCAAACGTTAACACCTCTTGCTAGCTTAATTCTTTCACAAGGCTATTTTTATAAATCACAAGTAATTGATGGTTTATAATGTAATTGCAACCAGTCTGAAGTTAAGACACAAAAGAAAAACCCAACCCCAGGAGGTGTTTTAACTTTAAACCATTCATTCTGCAGTGCATGGTCCTACTGCAGCCTGATGGCATACAAATTCAATGTGCTGAGCAAGTGCTAGGACCTTGCAGAAAAAAAAATATTATTTATTTACCTGCATAAGGATAGCATTATTATTTTTTTTTTTAAATCTGTATATTTCATGCTGCTAAGGGGTTATTTGTTTAGTTGATGTAATAGTTTCCATAATGATTTCTGATTACCAAAATGCATAGCATAAATGGTAATCAGTGCCCCTTTCAAAGCAAATGCTGATGCTGAGTACCTCCTATGAGTTTAATCACAGTGTGGGATTCACACCGTAATGTGTTATAATTGCCCCCTACAAAGTTGATCCCGTTTCATTTTAATATCACCAGACTAACTACTGAAACTCAACATGAGTTCCCTAAATGCTGTGTTCTTCATTGAGAATTTTACATACATAATGAATCTCAAATAAGGTTACCATGAGAAAGGTGAGGCACTTTTTTAAGAAATGCCTTGGTTTTTAATAGCTCTAAAATCAGTAGTGGTACTTTCAAAAGTTCACACTGTTGGACACTTCGCTTTGAGATCCAGCCTGATTGCTGTTTCCTTTAGATAATTTTACCTATTCTTTGACAGGAGCAAAGTGTGCAGCAACGCAGCAGAAAGCTTTGTACTTGGTTACGTTCTGGCATCGGGAAGTTTATCCTCATTTTCGTACACACGGAGTCACCTATGTACATCCGTGCACGCCGAGATGAGATGGTAACTCCTGTACTACTTTAAAAACAGCTGTTCAAGGGACACAGAAATAAATGTTATTTTGAGCTGAAGACCTGAAAGAGCAACTGGAGCTGCAGCGCACACCTCACCTGGAGTCAGAGCATGTGCCACCCACCTCTCGTGTCTGTAACAAGGACTGTTATTTGCATGGCGAGCCACAGCTATCAAATTATTCACTATAAATACCTCTCCATGGAAACGGCACTCTTTTTGGCTACTTGTCACCTATTTGCAAGCCAGTCCTTGGGCTCTTACAGTTAACACACGCTATTGAAAATACTTGAGTGTTCCCACAGCACTTCCCATTGGCCAAAACCGGGCCAGCCCTGCCACCGCCCCTGGGGTGCAGGTGCTCCGAAATGCAACTCAAAGGCCTTTGAGGGTGCGGGGGTGCCCAGCCCAGCTGAGTGGCTGAAGGCAGCAGGACACCCGCCTGCTAGGAGCGATATCAGCACCGCAGCTGTGCCAAGGGCATCAGCCAGAGCTCACTGCTGCGACTTCTGAATCCACCAAAGGAACAACCATTCACATCTGGCAGTCATCTGGAGTTAATCATGGAAATTATTGGGAAGGAAAACACCTCAACGAGCCAAACAACTAAGCTAAACACAAAACAACAAAACCAACCAAGCAAGCAACCAAAAAAAACACCAGAACTGTCCATCTTAAATTGTGTATGTTAAAGGGATTGCCTAAGGGGGTCTGCAAGACTTCTGGTAAACTTCCAGCTGTGCTTGAAAACTTTCTGGTGTAACATTGTTGTCTCCAGCTGAGATTTAAAAACCAAACAAGCTTCTGAGTCCCTGCTGGTGGCTGAGCCTCAGAGCCAACCCAGGAAGGGTGACACAAGCCCTCCTCACGTGTCTGTCTCACCTCATGTTTTACTGCTCACTTCTCCTCTCCTCCATGTCTCTGCCCTTTAACCACTTGTCATCTCCTTGTCCTGCAACACTGAGCAATGCAAAAATTGCAGTAGATGCAAAAAATTAAACATTCTAACAC